AAGGAATATCTGCTTTTGAGTTTGGCGTTAATCTGAAGAGCAGTATGTATACACACGTTAATGCATTTGTATTTTGTGTTAAGATGGAGGTATTTTAAAGCGCCAAGAGCTATGCTATAGAAATGATGATGATGATGATGATGATGATGATGATGATGAGGATGATGATGATGATGATGATGATGATGATGATGATGATGATGGTCACTTTCTGCCCCCACCCTTCATGGCCTTTGCGCGCTCCTCTGGGCTCCTGACTCTTTCTGTAGCTACTCCTTGGCTCCTTCTTACTGATGTCTTTCAACTATACCCCTGATCTTAAGGTAGGTAAAATCTAACTCCTAGCCTGCTCAGATAAGGGCGAAAAATCTTGGAAGTCTAGTGTGCAAGTTACGAAGTTAAAAATCCATTGGAGGTCCAAAATCGATAAGAGTAGGCTTCGGCCGCCATCTGAGCAATTTCAAAATTTCCTACCAACTGAAAAGATTTCATGTGTCCCGCGCGCCGATAATTATGACCTTGTGCAGTTGCGAGCTCCGTAAATATAAAGCACTTACAAAAAATAAAATAAATAGATAAGAAAAGAGTTCACTATAACAGCTCGTAGTGAACATCGTAGGCCAACATGTTGCAAGGAGAAGTAGAGTAAAATTTGATTACAAGATTAGCAAATCATCGTCAATTAAGCTAATATGAAATAGTAATTATGTGCATAATAGTTAACTTTTTCATGGGCACCTTTTTTATACTAATCAGATGGCGTCAACGTGATAGAAATGGACAGGGGACAAAAAAAGCTGCAGCTTTTAGCGTTGCTGTGTTCTTGGCAGCTCCATTTTATGACTTCAGTGCCAGACTCACTGCCTTACATATATACAATTTATTTCTTTCTTTCTTGGGGGGGGGGGTAGAGAGCTTTAATTGAGCTTGGAAACAAAACTAAGACAGAGGACGAATAATCAAAGCTGAACGTCGTACCCCAACGCTGTTTCAAAGAAGAAATCAATTAAAATCGGTTAAAGGTTAAGAGCATATTATTATTGAAATATTTCGATATATATGAACAAAACCCTGTAGCCTGTGACTTACGTTATTCAAAATATGCTTAAACTGCCATTTGAAGATGAGATTTGTTGAGATATAAGCCTACTGCGACGTCAAGTCATAGCATCCGAGCTTTTCTACATCAATAAAACTCCACTTTATATGCACAATATATTTTAAAGGGCTATTTATTTATCGAAACTAAGCTCTACACATTACCCAATGAGAACGGGATCAGCTCTTCTTTCTTCACAATGTTTCCTTGGGAGTCCAAAAATCTCTCCGGCCGGAAGTTCTGAGGATCTCCCCAGACTTTTTCATCCATGAGGGCAGAGTACAGATTGGGCACTACGGTGGCGCCTTTGGGAATGACGTAGCCTTTGATCTCAGTGTCCTCTGTGGCCGTGTGGGTCAGGCTGTTTGGGGGGACAGAAAAAGACAAAGAGCACGCTGTAGGACCAAGTGCGTGGATATGGGCTAAATGAATGCAATTATTATTGCTATTACATAAAGGGAGTCTAGTCCCATACAGTCCATACATTCAACTATTATTACCTCCGCAAACCCTAGAACACAACTTTGATACAACTTCGGCTTCACCAGAAGCATAATGCAAGCTGCAGATCAGATTACACACTACAAAACAATTTCCTAGTACAGTGTATTTTAGACACACACACACACACACACACACACACACACACACACACACACACACACAAGGACTATTGAAACGTCGTAATTTCCAAAACAAGCGTCAGCACTACTTCAGACATTCTAACGTCATGAATCGGGGAAGTGTTCTAGCATAGAGATGTCTGAAGCAAGATGAAGTATCCAGTTAGAAAACATCCATGTAAATGCTGATAAGAAAAGAGATCCTTAAGAAAGACGCCACCTTGTGAGTTGCATGTTGCCTAGCTGATATCTTCTTTCAGTAGAATACCTCAACCTTCAGCTGTCAGAACATACCATTGATGTCTTGTACTCGCTCAAACGTTTAATCAACATGCCGCACTCTAGTTGTTCATAAAAAAAGCGTTGAGATAATTACGAAACTAACTCTGGGCATCCTGATCTTTTCTTGGGGTTGCTATAGGCAACCCTACACATGAGTTATAATAATATGTCGTATACTAACTGTGAGACCCCCCCCCTTTTTCCCCTAACAATTTGTTAGTTTTTAGTTGTTTTTAGCAAGCAGAAAAACGATGTCTCATACTATACTACGTTGAATACAGTGGAAATATTGGGCCAGATCCTAAAACAGCGCACTCAAACGTCCTTTCTTTGTCATGTGTTGTTTAAGTCCTTTCTTTGTCATGCGTTGTTAAAGTGCAGTTTCCGTCATGGAATGGCAAGCTAGTCTGTCGCAGATTGACGTTAATCGAGAGGCAAACATTCTCACATAACTCATACTGTCTGTGTTGAAAGAGACGTATAACCACCAAGACAACAGTGATATGATATATGAGCCCCAAAATAAACAGAAATATGCCAGATACTTTAAGCTCACCTCAAGGGTACGATGTTGGCCATTCTAAGAGTTTCGTAGATGACGGCTTGCAAGTACTTCAGTTTGGATTTATCCTGTATGCCTGGAACACGGTTTGTTCCAACGTGTTCACAGATTTCTTTGTAAATCTGGCGTGGTAGAAAATCAGATGCAAATTTACAATTAGAAAAAAGACAATAAACAAGTAACAAGTGCCCCCCCCCCTAATAAAAACCAAACAAACACCAAACAAACAAACGAACAAAACAAACGAAACAGTCAAACAAACAAACGCAACGAGCGACATTCTGTGTCATCCATCTTTTCTTTTTTTTTTTTTCGTTGCTTCTACTTTTCTCGATACCTCATGTATCGCACACTTCCATTTTGTCTCCTCGGCTTATTTTAATTTAACCCCCCTCCCCCCAAATGCCTTCCTTGTTACGATAAATCCACTTTAGAAAAAGCTGAAACACTTGGCGCTTTGAGAGGTTGAGAAGGATATGACAAGTCTCTCCTGTCCGACTCTGATGATTTCACTCTTCGTAGGGGCCCTTCATCCTTGCCTCCCCCCCTTTCTATCTCTCAACAACACACAATAACATATACACCCACAGACACCGACACAAACACACACACACACTCATACAAACAAGAAGACACACACATACATACATAAACATACATACATAAACACACATACATACATACAAACATATACATACACACACATACATACATAGTATACAGGCGTCCTTATACCTCTCTCGTATTCCAAACCCCTACTGTCTTTTCCCTCATCCTCGTTTCCTTATTCTTTAAAAATATCTTCTACATTGAACATTCCCTGTATTTAAAAGTGAATGTTAATGTAAAAAAGTAAGAAGAAATACAATTTTAAAAAGAATGCACATTAAAATAAAAACACACAGCATAAACTACATTGAAATAAGAAAACAAATACACGAAAAACAACCAAAAGCGAAGCCAAAAACAAACCAGAAAAGGAAAAAAACAAAATCACGATAAACGAATGACAGGATAAA